TATTGCAGAGTATTGTTAGCTGGGTAGAAGACTCAAAGTCGTGTGCGTATGTACTCCGTGCCGCTTGCAACTAGCTCTCAATGCTTGGAGTGGCAAAGAGATGCGGCGTTGTGCAGCCCCCTTGTCCCTATTCCTTCATGTATGAGCTGTGGAGGCTGCGGGAAATTACAGAAGAAAGGATTTTTGCAATGCATTCTGTATGTGTATAATAAATTTCTATTTAATCTGAAGTCCAGCGTGCACCTACGGAGAACTCGGGTGGAGCATTACAAATACCCTTACTTCTTGATTCAACGCCAGTTCTGAGATCGACCATTGCAAAATTGCGAGGTGGCTCCATTTCGAAATTAGTAGGACAGAAAGCAAAGGTTAGCGCGCGAAATTGCATCACTCGCAATTAAACTATGATAATCCACGTTATAGTGGGATATCAACAATTCACTGTTAAATGGAGTTTACGGCAAGTCACGCAAAACAGTGAGTTACAACACATCCTTAGTTCAGCATAAGTGGAATGGTAGACGTAGCCTAACTACAGGCGGGGCCACTCCAGTCGTCCCACATCTTTTCGCGAGTGCAAAATCTATGGTTTGGAGACATAAGAAAAAGACGTCATCCAATAGCACGTATGAGGTCTTTTTCACACACCTGATCGGGCTCAAGGAGCTGAGTTTACCTGTTACTGAGGACGAATGTTTTTATGGCATCCTAATGCAGTGCCATACACGATTAACCTAATAAAATCCGGCTGTCCAAACTTGTCAAGCTGCAACAAAAGATGTCTCTGGCTATGAAAATACCACATTCGGCTTATAATATCTCAGGATATGAATGAGGAACCAAAACTAGTCCCACCGTAACACGCCTCTCCAGCATCCCGTGCTTCTGGGAAACAATCGAGCGAAAACAGTATCTGATCTGAAGGAATCCAGAAATTCAGCTGCATACTATTGCAGGAGCTTATTTCGTTTTTCGGGAAGCTAAATGAAATTGACTAATCTTGCATTTGCTGCTGGCTGTGCATAGGTAACTTTCCCACCCCCCGTGTTCTTCATCTCTGCCATGTTGTACCTTGCGTGCCTCGCTCTTATCCTTGTTGAATCGTTGACCTGAAGTCAGCAAAAATGGGCCAGACTGAAGTATCAACCATACATGACGAATTGTGGGGTGTACCGGCGAACTTTCAGCGTGGGGATTTGCACTGCATAGCTTACGTACACACATTCCGCACACATGGTTAGTGCTTTCGGGGAGCAACAGCTCCCTCTTTATTTCAATGCGTTTGCCCAACGTTTTGCTATTTTTCTAATATGCTTAACATTTCTGCTTACATATACAGCTAATTGCTTCTCAGTTCGTGATATATTCAGCAGTCAAAAGTACCTTGCGCCTCCGATTTTGAATCTGGGGAGACCGCTCACCACCACATTCAGCCAGTTTGACTCCGCTTCTCCCCCTTCACTTGCTTCCGCACTTCATAGCTCTGCTGAGGAAATGGGAAGCAGTAAGCGACATGGAAAGAGCGGCATCTTGGCGCACCTGTCCACTTGGTTTCGGGGTCGGTCTGGCTCCCAGGAAAAAGAGACAGCGTCTGAAATACAGGAATCTGCGGTCAAGCCGTGTGAGACGAAAGTGGAAGTAGGAGTAGACTCTTCACGCAAATGGGATTATAAGCTGCAAGGTGCAGACTGGGCCCCAGTACTAGCTTGCGATATCTCAAACAAGCGGCAGAGCCCAATCGAGATTGATAGGGTAGCACTTGAGACGCTCCTGGATCGCCACAGCAAAGGGGAACTAACAGCAGAAGTGATCACAGTACCCGGAAATCGAGCGAAAATTGCAACAGCGGACCGGTTTCTGGTCAACAAGCTGGGAGAATCTTCCCCTATTACCGGTAAACAAGTGGTCTTTGACTGCGGTTACAAATTGCAGCTCAAACCATCGGAGGGTGGTGCCTTTGGACAGCTAGAGAAAGGAGAAGGAGATGAGAAGGAGATATATGAGCCTATTCAATTCCATTTTCATGCACCAGCAGAGCACACAATAGGCACACGAAGCTGCCTTGAGTTACATATTGTTTGTAGATGTTTAAAAGAGGGAAAGCAAGACCAGCTACTTGTTCTCGGCCTTATGTTTGATGCGAAAGGGGAGGAGGGTAAAAGCATGTTTCTGGACGAATGTGAATCCGCTCTCATTGCTTCGCTGTCTCCTGAGGCGAGAGCCCAACTGCCTGAAAGGGTCAACATAGCGTTGAGAGAGGCTAAAAGTGAGATGAAGGACCTTCTCGGGCACCTCAATCTGAAATCTCTTTTACCAGATGGGTGTATCCTTATCAATTATGACGGCTCTCTAACTACTCCTCCATGCACGGAAAACGTCGCATGGTGAGGGAAGAATAAATCACCAGGCCCCACGTCTCAGAATGTATTGCTTTTGTGTATGCACAGTCCATTTTTATATCGTACTTTTCCCAGATACGGCGTGTGTTTTCTATAGGTACGTTGCTCTAGATCCACTTCCAGTTAGCCCAAAACAGGCAAAGCGTTTTGGGAGTTATCTCCAGAGTGGAGAAGGCAATGAGGCACGTGGCAATTACAGGCTGCGACAGAATGTTGAGGTGTGTCTTTGCGTATGTTGTGCTCTTCTCTGCCCTCGCCCTTTCATTACTGCGTGCATGCCTGTTAATAGCCAGCTTCCTAAGATTGCGTTTGTTCTCATGCTCACCAGTGAGCGCTGGATATTTTAAATACTCCCACTTTGTGCCGTTGGTTTCAGGTGAAGGCGAATGAACAGACGTTGCACATTTTGGTCCCTTGCTGTCCTTCCAAGCCAAATGTAGCCGAGCAAGTTCGAAGAGATACGGCAGCGGATGAGTCGGAGGGTGCCCAATAAGCACAAAACTTTGTTTCTCTACGTAATTGACGTATTTACACCTTTTGCGGGAAGTTCAGGTGGCGTGTGTCCTTCGATAGGCCTTCTGCATAGGTGGTTCGCGAAGAATCACCAAGCTTGGGTTGACTGGATAGGGACGCGCTTTGGCTGCTCTCGCATGCCAGGGTTAGATTTTCCAGTGGCAGTATACTAGCATACACCAAGATAGATGGTGGTTTTATTGTTTACTACTCACGAAAATTCAAATCTCCTAAGAGGTTGAATTTCGTGTGTGGAGAGCTATGCACATGTTCGTTGACTAGTTTATAAAGCGATATCACATGAATACTTGGTTCTCTAATTTTTTCCATGTAGACACACCGTCACTTTATGCTCGTCCCGCTGTGTTTCCCGCCGCGCGAAAGCCAAGGTGAAGGGGAGTTCTTGCAATCCTTCCAAGCCGTGAGTTTTATGAGCTATTTGGAAAGGACATCGTGCCGAACATCCCGCAGACGGGCACCTGCTCCTGAGTATCACTGCTACACGTCACGCGGGCTTGATGTTTTGTTCAAGGTTTTGCCGCTCAGTATGTACTTGTGAGTGTGGAGGATGGAGCCCTGGAACCCGGGGTTAGCGTTTGCCGTTCGTCCACAGGTAGGTTTTACCAGAGTACAAGTATATAAACTGGCTGGAGAGTGTCCTCAAGTTCTGTGTTGGTGTATTTAGCCAACGGAGTGGTGGCGTATCCGATACACCTGGCTGTGTTGTGATAATTCACGGTCAGTACTGCATCATTGCGACGTGCAACAAGGAGCTATAAGCTACTGTGTCAGTTCATGAAATGCCGGTTAGATAATCTCTTTAAATTGGATCTTACATACTGCGAGAAATCATCTAAATTGTTTCACTACGTCCGCCGGTAAGGGCGATGACGTGCAACGTTGTACACTTAGTACGAGCTAGAATTTAGCGGTAGCATATAACCACATTCTTCATCTTTCGTATGTGTAGAAAGTCTGATGCAAAGGCATCAGTGCGCGACGTGTGGGCTGCTTTCCAGAAGAATGTAGGCTGGAATGCTCTTTGTAAACCCAACACGATGCGGGCGAGAAATGAACGTTAGTTCATCCTGTCGTTGATGCAAGACAGATCGAATGGCGAACAAAATCTGAGCTCCATTTGACACATTTAAAACACCTTAGTATTGCCAATGCTCAACAGCATATGACGCAAGTCAAGCTACACTGGACCAGGTTGTGCACCACTATGCATGATTTAGACTCCTTTCCTCGCTGATAAAATGCCTGTATGTTCCTACACCTGTTACACTTTAGAACATTTTTCTCACAATAATAGTGATCAATATATCGGCACAACAGCTTACCATGGGCAGCCCTGTATGATTGGTCGTGCCATCCAAGGGATGTAATAGTTTGCATCGTGGCTGCCCTCTACCACTCGCACCGAAAGTCTTTGGAGCGGGAAGAAATGGAGCCCAACAGCCACTTGCACGGAGTGTGAACATGAATATTGCTTGTAATCTTCACCACTAGACCAACAGCAAGCAGTGGTATCCAGTGAAACAATGTTGGAACTAGATAAATCTGCGCCATTGTATTGTCCAAACTCACCATCAATCTTTAGTGCACCTCACGACGAATTCCAAGACCTTGCTTAATCAAGGGCTGTTTGCTGCTTTGAGAGCCTCCTTTAGTACGTTTCAGCAACATATATAAAAGGCATCAACGCCGCGGTCGCCGAAGCGGTCTCGCGGCATCCCAACGATTCACTATTATGCAGCGCAGCATCTTGTATCTGGAACGATCAGGTGTGTTGATCAAAATTGCGTGCGTTGGATCATTTAGACACCAATGATTTCGTTCCTACTGCCAAAATTCAGAATGGT